TAATTCCCTTCCTCTTAATATACTTACAAAAAGTCTTGGGGTTTTCCTTGCTCCCACCTGTCAAAGATATTTTGTGGCTTCCTAATTACCTTTTTAAGCAACCTCCTACACTCTGTACTTTTGAAGGGTCTCCCCTCTTTTTAATGCACTGTACCTGACACATACTTTCTTCTTTTTCTTAATCAAATTCACAGTAAATCTTGAAATCCAGTGTTCCGTGGACCTGCTGCCCTTGCCCTTCACTCTTAGAGGAACATATTAGCCCTGAATTCTCACTACACTACTTTTAAAAGGCACTTTCCAAATGAAGATGCACCTGCAAGTATACACTCCTACTCTATGTTTGGAAGATCCTGTCTAATGATATTGAAATCAGCCTTCCCCCAGTTTAGACACTCAACTTCTGCACTATGCGTATCCCATTCCGTTATGACTTTGAAACTTAGAGTTATGGTCACTAACCCCAAAATGCTCACCCACTGAGATATCTACCACTTGACTGGCGACATTCCCAAAAATTAGGTCGAACACTGCCCCATGTCTGGTAGGACTTTCTATGTATTGGCACAAAAAGCTCTCCTGGATGCACTTTAACAATTCCACCTTGCCTAATCCTTTCACGCTAAGGCAATCCCAGTCAATGTTAGCAAACAAGTGTAACCCTGATTCTGTCACACCTTTCTGTGATTTGCCTGCTTATCTGGTGCTCTATCACCTTCTGACTGTTGGGAGGCCTGCAGTATAATCCCAACAAGGTAAATGTCCCTTTATTTTTACTTCTAAACTACACAGACAGCCTCATTTGAAAAGTCTTCTCGGACATCCTCCCTCATTAATGCTGCGATGGCCTCCTTTCTCAATAATGCAATGGCTCCACCTCTCTCACATCTCCACTTCCATGCCTGAAACTTCTATACCCTGGAATGCTAAGCTGCCAGACCTTCCTTCAACTATGCTTCACCAATTGCATCGATATCATATTCCCACATGCTCATCAATGCCCTGAGTTCATTCCCCTTACCAATCAAGTTCCTTACATTAAAATCAATACAATTTCACATTCTATGTGCCTTATCCTGGCCATGCCTTTTCCAACTGCAGGACTGACCGAGCACTCCTCCTTCTATATCTGATTAGACCTTGCTCCCAATATTACATCTACCCTGTGCCCATCCTCCTGCAAGATTAGTTTAAAATTTTTCCACCAGCATGGGCAAACCTTCCAGCAGGAATATTGGATCCATTCTGGTTCATATATAATCTGTCCAGCTTGTACAGGTGCCACCTAAACTAGAAGCTATCCCAAAATCTAAAGTTCTCCCTCCTACATCATCTCTTTAGCCCATGCTAATCTTTTTTCATAGAACATAGAACAGTATAGCACAGTACAGGCCCTTCGATCCACGATGTTGTGCTGACCTATTATCCTACTCTAAGATCAATCTACCCTGCATACCCTATATTTTACTATCATCCATGTGCTCATCCAAGAGTCGCTTAAGTGTCCCTAATGTATCTGACTCCACTACCACTGCCAGCAGCACATTCCACACGCTCACCACCCTCTGTGTAAAGAACCTACCTCTGACATCTCCCCTATACCTTCTTCTAATCAGCCTAAAATTATGCCCCCTCGTAATAGTCATTTCCGCCTTGGGAAAAAGTCTCTGGGTATCCACTCTATCTATGCCTCATCATCTTTTACACCTCTATCAAGTCACCGCTCATCCTTCTTCACTCCAATGAGATAAGCCCTAAATCCCTCAACCTTTCCACATAAGACCTGCCCTCCAGTCTGGGCAGCATCCTGGTAAATCTCCTCTGCACACTCTCTAAAGCTTCCACATCCTTCCTATAATTAGGTGACCTGAACTGAACACAATATTCGAAGTGTGGTCTAACCAGGGTTTTATAGAGCTGCAGCATAACCTTGCGACTCTTAAACTCAATTCCCCTGCAATGAAAGCCAACACACTATATGCCTTCTTAACAACCCTATCAACTTGGGTAGCAACTCTGAGGGATCTATGGACGTGGACCCCAAGTTCCCTCTGTTCCTCCACACTGCCAAAAATCCTGCCATTAACCCTGTATTCTGCATTCACATTTGACCTTCCAAAATGAATCACTTCACACTTTTCTGGGTTGAATTCCATGTGCCACTTCTTTGCCCAGCTCTGCATCCTGTCAATGTCCCATTGCAACCTACAACAGCCCTCCAAACTATCCAGTAACAACAGGAAGGAAGTTATAAAGAAACTCTGTAGCTGGCAAACATGGAAAAGATCTGCAGGCAGAGGAGGCATTGCAATCAATGCACAGATGCTGATACAAAAAGAAAGCAGACAGAGACAGAAAGGGAGTGCAGAAAGCTCTTGTGAGGAGAAGAAGCAAATCACTATCAGGAAGAGGTCAGTCTTCCTGTTTGGCAGACAAGGAAACAGAAACTGTTACAGACATTGTGTGTGAACTTTAAGGGTCTAAAACCTGAAAAGCTGAGTGAATGGCTTAGTGATACCAAAGAGCTGGATATTTTCCCAGAAATGGCCAAACTGAAAACTGGTCTATTATTGCTTGGTTGAATGTAAAGGAACTCTGGAAAGTTGCACCATTAGTTCTATCATGACCTGGGTTCATAGAAATGTGCCTGACTGATGATAATCATACTTGTGAACACAAAAGTGAAAATTGTTGTCAGGTTGGACACCTCACTTGGGTGAAGAAAAATGGCATATTGTGGAACTGTGTAGCTATTTCTGCCATATTTGTGCAAGGGGTAATGTGAATGCTGATGGTTACAGAAAATGTATTTTTGCTGGTTCAAATGTTGAGGTGAAATTTACCTTTTCAGTTGGAGCATCATTTTGCCTGTTAATTCATGTGTATGTTGTGTTGGTTCTTATTAATATTTAAAGTAAAAGTTACATATTTGGAATTTTGTGGGTGATAGTTTATTTAGAGATTGTTCAGTAAATTTCATTACTTTGGTTACCAAAATTGGTTCTAAACAAAAGTCTTTTTTTATTAGAAAGTTAGCTTTCTATGGCTTTTGATTTATCTATGATTTAGTTCAAAACTGTGGAGTGCAGTAGTTTATAATAACATGTCTTATTATGATAACATAATAATAGATTAATTTTAATATTTTGCCTGGAAAAATATAGCGTCATAATGGTGGTAGGATTGCATATTGTATTGTCTCTGATCTTTGCTTCCAAATTAAATTTTGGTAGTCACATGAATGAAGGATGTTTTGAACCAGAAATATTTATTCTGTTTTATAATTGGTTTCTGTGGCCATAAATGTGGGAATTAGGCAATTTGACTTTTGGCACTCAGTGTCTACATCATATTCTCTCAGCCTAGATATAATGTTTTAACTTGACTTAAGAATTCTCACTCCATGTGATTTCTCTTGCCCCTATATTTCCCAAATTAGCTATCCTTCTGGGCTGTTAAGTCAGATTCCTCTTTTCATGCCACTACATAGATGATATGCACTCTGGAATTGAATCCACTAGGAACTGCAGAAACTCATTTTAAAAGAGCTTAGTTACAGGCAGCAAAGAGTGGAGACTCCCATCCCAATAGCTTTTAGTAAAGCAATCCTAAAAAAGTGATAAAAGGACACAAAGTGAAGATCTTGTATTTGGCATGATTTTATAAAAATTGTGAACCTTCATGGTAATGTTTTATTAAAAGAATGGTGTGTCTGTGTGTCTAGAGAAATTGGGCCCTTATCTTAGTAAAGTTTATCTAATGAATTCCACATTGGAGCATTACTCAAATAATTACTTTGATAGTAGATTATGATTATAATTAACATACATTATGTGACTAATCACTTAAATCATACCTTTTGTTTTCTGTAACCATTTGAAAAAAGTTTGTTCTGACACATTGTAATGAGGTAGCCTCAGTGATGCTGATCTCAAATAAAGACATAATTGGGATCATTAATTTATCACCTATTTTAATACATTAATATTACAGTTTCTGAGACTATGGACCCGTGTAAAGGGCTAATTACTGAAAGGCCATCAGTGAATACTGCAGTGAAAAAGATGTTTATAAGTCTACTTATTTAAAAACAAAAGTTATTTTCAAGCCACATTTGTTTAGTTAATCTTGCAGTGTTTAAATTACCTGTGGCTTCAAATTGATTATTCCGTCCTGTGCGTTATCTAAGAACAACTATGTTGGAGTCATGAACTCTCAATCCTTCTTTCCCAGCTAGAGATATGCATACCAAACTAAGTACAGTAGTTAGAAAACAAAAAAAGGAACCATTTACTATCTATCAGATAAATGATTAAACTGATTTGTCTTGCAAATAATTAGTTAAATTATAGTGCAACTGTCTTTTTGCTAAGTACATGTACCTACCAATGTAAATTGCATTATCATTCATTGTTAACTGTCAGGATTTTTGTGATGGCTTCTTGTCCATCCCTATTGCTCTTGAAAAGATGGTGATGAGGAAGGTGCTGATCATCTTATCATAGTGTCATAATTAATATGCATGACTAGTTGGGTTGTAAGCTTCTATTAAGAAGAGTTTTATTGCTGCTGTAATCCAAACTTAAAATTGTAGATAAATCCTACAGTGGTGTTTCTAATTTATGCAAAACTCTGCTAAAATAGCATAACAGTCTCTTGAAATATTGCCCTCTATTAGAATAAACAAAGGTTTTGGCTTAGAACATTTTAATTCTATTTCTGAACATATTTAACAAAAATTACTTGAAATTAAAATTCTAAGAATCCATTTGCTAGATAATGCCAGTGTTGGCAAAACAAACGTGAAATACATGTTTTCAGCAAAATATATCAATCCCATATATGCCTGTCAACAAATTTCTGAAGAGCTAGTGTACTAGTTCTGAAACTTATATTTTTCTCCCTCTAAAGCAAAATAGAAACCTTTTGGCGAAACATAATGAAAGCATCCGAATGAAATGAATTGACATGTTCTAGCAGCTGTACGATTTTTTTTGCAGGGGCAAGCAATGCATCTATGCTCACACTCTGCCAGTAACAGTGACAATGAAACAGAAGCAGAATTTGGGATTAATGAGACCGGAACTGAGCGTAAGGAATTATTCAACAAAATGAAAAACAGCAAGCATGGTAAACTAATTGTAAAATCTTATATCTTAACCTTAAGCAGTTACTAGTTCCTCCAGCAAGAAATATTCTTTGGGCACTGTAAATTCTCTTAATACCCCACTACAGTCTATAGCCCTATTTCAGTACAAGTTTACTTTGGCTCATTTTCAAAAAGTAATAATAGGAGCGTTCATGAAAATCACATCAATGTCTTAAGTGCAACATACGTATTTGTAGAAATGAAAAGAGTATTAATGTCCTGTGAATACACCAGGGAAATTAGTTTGACCTTTTTATCATTATTTAGATTAACCACTTTTAATCTATTTGTTTCTTTTTTGTTACACCCACTTTATTCAAACAAGCTACAGTAGCATAAATTGCAGAAATTAATATACATTTTCCACCTCTGTATTCCCCCTCCCCCCACACTTTTCTTACATGTTGTCTTTGCATATAGGTTCCATTTTGTTGTTTACATTACCACATTTTTAGATTTCAGTGGCAAAGATTAGATTGTACTTTTCATTTACTTAAAGAACAAAGCATTTAAATTCCAGTGGATGGTTTTTCAATTAAGTTGAGGTAAAGTGAAACTTTTGCCTATCCTATGGAAACAATGAAGGTGGCAGATGAAAGAAGCATCCACCTACACTACCAGCCAAACTTTGCAAAATCCAAAAGGAGTCCTGACATCACTGGAACCATATTCGTTTATTTAGCCATTCCTTTTTTCTCAATTATAAATGTATAATGTAGACCAATGATGAGCCAAATTTATATTGGACATTAACTAAACTCAATACTTCCTTGCTAAACAGGCCACATTGTCCAATTTAATGGGATTACATAAAATATTAAATTTTGCAGGCATAAAGTAATAAATATTTAAATGTTTTCACTGCTGCTGTGTTAGTGGCTCTGCTATTATGAGCAAAATAAAATTTTGAAGCCAAATGGAATCCTGATCAATGCCTTTCTCAGTGGCGGTCAATCAGACAACCCTCTTAATTTCCCCATAACTTAATCAATGACCTTTAGTGCTATCTTGTTCTCTGATATGGTGTGATTTTAAGTTCCATATTTGTGTTACAGACTTAATCTCTATTTGCTTTCTTTCAGAAAATCAACAACACCATATTGACAACTACCCATGCTTTGGAACTGCGTCAACAGTTATTAGCTTCTGCCAGCAAAACCTATACATGCATTATGGAAAGGAAATGCAACAATTTGTTGTTAAGCAGTTACATAGTGACCTAAGTAACAACGGCAAGGTTGGTGATATTCCGAATGTAAGTATATAATTTAATGTATTTGTTTTCATTAGAATAAGTTGTTCATAATGAACAATGTAATATTTCTGTATTTTTAATAATTGATCTTAATGATGTTGCTTGGATGTCTGAAACATTGAGGCAACTATTGTCACTCCCAAAACAGTTCACAGTCTAGAGTTGTGAAAATAAATCTCAAATAGTATAGATACTGGGAATCTGCAATATAAATAGAAAACACCAGAAAGACTCAGGAGAACAGGCAGTACCTGAGGAGAGAAACAGCATTAATATTGATGACATTTCATCAAAATGCTGAAAATAGTAGGTCGTGTATGTGTTCTGGTAATATCAGACACAAGCAAATGAAAATGATCTTGATTTCTGGCTGCGTTTGCATCTATCCTGACTGTAATTTTGTTTTTAATTATCTATTTTTTGTAATAGTAGCAATTCACTATCCAATAAAACATTATATTATTTTATTTGTAGTGGTAATTTCCCTGTTATATCATTTCTATAGGGAGTTTAAGCACTTTATCAATTGGTCCTTTCATTTGTTATGTTGAAACAACTGATCATCCAGATATGATTTATTTGATTTATTTTGAATACTGATTTATTTATTGTCACATGTATTTTGTTACAAAATACAGTCAAAAGTGTTGGATAATGTCTGCTCCATTTCCACTCTATTATAATTGGTTCCAACTATTCAGGTACTATTCCCCTCGCCTCGAAAGTTACCATCTCTCCCACCTCAGCAAAAACAAAAAAGCACCACTCTGACCTTGCAAGCAACTGTCCAGTTGGCACCTCCTTCTTCATCTCCAAACTCCTCGAAATTGTTATGCCTCCCAAATTCACACCCATCTCTCATGTAATTCTCTGTTTGAATCTTTCTGATCCGTTCCATCCCAAGGTATTAAAATATCCCAAGCAATATTCAAAGTGACAACCTGTGATTTCTGATTGTGACATGATTCCCCATTCTTCTCAACTTATCTGCAATCTTTGATACATCAGTCATCTCTCCTTTTTAAAACTTGTTCTCCATTGTCTGGCTTTACTGGAACTAGATTCATTTAGATGTACTCTTTCTTGTCCTAATATCACTGTAGCGTCTCAAGCAATCACTTCTGATCCTTCCCCTGCACCATTACCTCCAAAGATTTACTTTTCACACCTTCCTCATGTTTGTGGTGTACCAGACAACCAAACTTTACATTTAAATTATGTTATAAATCTCTACTTCTCTGCTGTTCTTTTTTGAACTCACTTTGTGTTGTCAGGCTGATTGCTGAATATTAAGTCTTAAATGAGTTGTAATTTCCTCCAGTTACATTGATCAAGGGGAAGAATTTCATTCCTTCCCTCAAGATTATACCATTTAAGAACCAGAATAGTTTTCAGAAATCGCAAGTTGAAAAGCTGATTTTAAGCTTCCAAATATCCAATAATTTTACTTTGTAAGCTGAACACATAAACAATACCACATTTTTAAACCTATAATCAAGTGGAAAGGTTGGATGAGAGGATTTTAGACTACTAGAAAGTGCACAGGATTAGTCAAAGAGAGTTTGCAGTTCCTAATTGGAACCCAAGTATTTTAATGAGGCTGTGTGCCTCAGGTTTTACTTGAAGTTTTGACACAAATGCCGTGGGCTGTTTTGAGTGTCTGGGAAATCTGGCAACTGAACGGGGACATAAAGCACAAGGTCTAACAATTTAGAGCTTTTTCAGCTTTGCTCATTTGCAGAAGGAACAGATTCTTTTCGAAAGCTGCCCTAATTTAGCCAGCTTCTGTTTTTTGCAATTGTACCCAAAAACCACAATCTCAACCAGATATTTCTCATCTCACCCCAGCCTCCAATCACAAACCTCCCTGACCAAGACTTTGCAATTGATCTCCCTCTCTGCATCGTTCCCAGTCTCCCTACTGATCCCTACCCTCAACTGTTCTGATTTCAGCATCACATAGCAGATTTGGAAATTCTCCAACTCGCTGTTTGCGCCTATGGAGAAACTCACATGACTGGCAGATTCTTCGCTCTGTCCAGGAGAGTGGGTACAAATAGAATTGTTCCCACTGCCCCAGATTAAGAGCAATGATAGTTCCAGTGGCTGCCAAGGGCCACAGGCAGACTCTTCAGATGGCCCAAGGTCCACCTTGGTTTTCTGCTACTTTATCTTGGTTGTTTAATTATTAGGCCTTCTAGTCCTCAAGACCTCACCTCCTTATTGCTCTCACTCAATCTATGCACCGCAGTGCTGCAAAGTCAATGAATTGCCACCATCTTCCCTCTGATACTTTCATGTCAGCACCCAACATAGCCCCATGCATTGCCCTTTGACCTTTCATTTTTCATGTCAATGTGCATTACCCACCATAGGAAGACTTCAGAAGCCATGTTTTGATGAAATAAAATAAAGGTCTAAATATCTGGTACAGCTTTTACTATTTAGGTAAAGTCACCGTGATCTTACTATAGGGCTGCTCTCTCATTAGAGAGAGATGACTATTGAGGGGAAGAGATTGAAGGAGAATCCGTTATGATAACCTCAGTCAGTATGGGTATTTAACCCATGCTGTTGGCATCACACTGCATCACAAATCTACAGTTCATCCAACTGAGCTAACTGAGCCCCAGCCTTTACTATAGTATGTAAGACATACTCGCATTCATGAATGTAAATTCACTCAAGTACCCAGTCCATTATAAATCTTAACAGACTGGTACTTACAAACCCATAACAAAGACAACTAACTTCTTAATAAGCTATTGGAACTGTCAATCCAGTTGAGAACTTGATGTAATGAGGTCAGCCAGCTGGACCTCAAAGAATTTGAATTCCCTGATTTGTTGGTTGTTAATCTGCTTCAATCAGGGAGCCCTGGCTAACAGATGAAAAAGAGAGTGTCAGAGATTCTGATACTATGGTACCTGACTCTGTATGAGGCAGTACTGAAGTCAAGAACTGTTTATGTGTAAATAAAGGATGACCTGGTGACGGGATACCGGCCTCTGTGAAGTATTTCAGTTAAGACCTTCTGCTGAGATAATAGTAGCTTCTGAAAAACAGCCCAAGCATTAATAATGACATTATGGTAATCCCTGGGCAATATTTCCACGTACATCATCAAACAGTGGTTATTTCTCCTCGAACAATTTTTTTTCAACTCTCACTGGCACAGGCAAATTTTGCTTAACTTTTAAAGAGCTCAGCTTTAAGTAACTTTGTATCTTGTATCTTTTCTTTAATATTTTGCTAATGCAGTTTTTTTTATTTTTCAAAGGCTGTAGATTTAAATAAGTTCACATTGTGACGGTTCTACTGACACTATCCAACATTCAGAAACTTTTACAACTATTCCAAAAGTTCATAATGCCCATTTTGTGGTTTAAAGTACTCGTTGCAGTGAAAATGGAGTCTGTTTGAACTTAGCACTGATTTCAAAGGTGCTTGCTGAGACTTCCTTCATCTGAGTCATGCCCTGACAATCGCCCCCTACTGGGAAATATAGGAACTATTGAAAATAGGAGTAAAATCGCTGAGACCTGGGATAGAATTTTTCAAATCCCTGAATGATATGGGTATTGGTGAAAAAGTTGGGATAAGACATTGTCTTACCTGCCCATGTGGCAGCAGCATACATGGAAGACACATTGCACATGCAGCAACCAACCAACCATGTCTCAAAGTCTAAGGGGTGTAGTTCTCAGTCAGGTATGGAAGACCCAGTTCATTCATGTGGTCCCAGCATAGTAAGTCAAGGGTGGCTCTGATATAAGTTCAGGGGCTTTTGCAGGGGTCAGGGTCATATGTCCATACCTCTACAGACTGGGGAGTGGGCTACAGTCAGACCTGTGGGTCCAGTCAATCGGGGGTGACCTAGACAGACAGGCTGAGTCTGACTCAGGCCGGGGAGGAAACTAGGTGAGTGAGGACCAGTGAGGGAAGATTGTGCATGTAATAGTGAGCCTGGTAGATCATGAGCCTTGGTGGGCGGGGTGCAGTAGCAGAGATAGAGTGTGAGGTATCTGGAAGGAGATTGTAGCAGTTCCTTCACAGAGCAATGAAGGTCATTACCATTATGGTATTTCTGTATGTTCTCCTCAGGGTGTGTGATTGTGTGGGAGGGAATGGGTAGTAGAATGTGTCTGCATGTGTATGGGTTTGGGAGTTGGTGAGAAAGAGTCTGTGCTTGTGTGGAAGAGAAGGAGTGAGTGTGCATGTATATGCTAGGGAGGCAGGGCAGGGTGAATGTGCATGTGTGTGTGGGAGAGAGGGAGTGAGAGAGATTGTAAGCCTGTGTGTGGGAGAGGAGATTGTGTGAGAGAGATAATGTGTGTGTGTGCGTGTGTGTGTGTGTGCGTGTGTATGTATGTGTGTGTGTGCGTGTGTGTGTACGAAGGGAGAAAAAGTGGGGGAGGGGATGAGAGCATCTGTCTGCATGTGTGAGGGAGCAACAATGTGTGTGTGTGTGTGTGTGTGTGTGTGTGTGTGGGATTGTAGGAGGAGGTAAGTGAGAAAGTGCTTGAGCCAGAGACATACACGAACACCTGCAGTTTCTCTTCTCCTGTTCCTCAAAACTGTATCCGTAAAGCAGATTAGGAAAAGAGTAAGGCCTAGGCTGGAAAGTAGCCCATATGTGACCCTCTACTTTTGTATGAACTCCATCAAGGCCAACTCAGAAATTTTTCCAACAGAGGTGAATGCAAGATCAATGATTAAATGACATATTTTGTAAATTTTTAATGGTGAATTATATTGAGTGAAGAATGAAAGTAATCTACTTGACTAAGTTCAGCGAACAAACGGGTAAGTTAATTTTTTTTGCCGAAGCTATTGTTTATATTTTCCTGATAATGTAGATATTACGATACTAATGATGTGTAATAATGAATAGGAAGCAATAACATTACGTAAATGTATTATGTTATGATAAAATAGACTTTATAAAGCTATGATCGAGTATGTAGGCTCCAATTCTGAGAATAATAACTGTGTTGATA